CAGTCTCCTGTCGATTGGCCCAAAGTCACTCAACTGGCTTTCATGCCTAAGGTGGGACTAGAACTCACAGTCTCCTGGTTTCTAGTCTGGTTATTTGCCATGACAAAAATTACCCCCAACAAACAGATAAAAGTCTTTCTATGAAACATTTTCTACTAACTTGTAATAGGGAGACTTTTCTCTCATAAGTATCTTTATTCTGCATGTCAGAGCACCAGAATTCCAACACACAGTCCAACACAGTTCCCTAATGCATGAGCAAAAAGCATTTCGGTCTCATCGACTTCTCTATTCCTTATTTTTTTATCTAGCAGCAGGACTCTCTGCTCTTGAAAAGGACTTAAAAAAGAAACCAAAAGGGTGCTGAAAGGAAGATTTAAAAACATTTCAGATTCTTCAGTTAGTACACATGATTATCTGATACTGTATAAACATTCATATTTTAATATACGCATCGAAGTTTATTTATTTTACCTACAAAGTAAATAAACCAAGTAACAGATGGTCTTCTAAGTTCCCAAACAGTTATGGCAGCCTTTCTCAATTTGGGAATGTCCAGCTTGACTTCAGCTCTCACCAACCCATGATCTAGTGGCCTATTTTACTGCCCATGGATGGGATGGGATGGGATGAGGGAGGGAGGGAGGGGAGGAGGGAGGGAGGGAGGGAGGAAGGAAAAGAGAGAGGGAGAGGGGGGAGAAGAGGGGAGGGAGGGGGGGAGGAAGGAAGGAAAAGAGGAAGGAAAAAGGAAGGGAAGGAGGGAGGAAAAGAGGGAGGGAGGAAAGAAGGAAAAAAGGAAAGAAGAAGGGAGGGAGGGAGGGAGGGAGGGAGGGGGGAAAGAGGAGGAGGAGGAAGAGGAGGAGGAGGGCTATTCATGGCAACACTCCCATCATTTCATTAAGCTCCTGCTCCTGCTGGGTGTGTGGCATTCTGTTTTCAACAGAATCTTTCAAATCTATTCTTCAGCCCCAGTGAGACAGGAAAGCATCGGGAGGAGGAGGAAGGCATAACCATTCTAAAATAAAACCAGAAGCAGCAGGCAAAGAGCCCGATAGCCGCGATACAACACAAGACGATGAGCGGGATCCCAAACCTGTCACGCCAACGGCCTTGACCCCAAACAGATGCAACCCGAGATATGTTAGCCGGCGATGAAGGAAATCTCCCCGCCTGCTAGCTCAACGGACAAGATGGACCACCCAACCACCAGGGTGCAAAACAAAATCCGACGCCTGCGCTTTATTCACACACATCCAAATCCCCTCAACCCAACAAGACAACTGCCTCGCTTGCGTCACAACCTTTCCAACGTAGAGATTCACTGGCCCTTTCCCTTTAAGACGCCCCCAGGGGGTGCGGTTCAGGAAATTGTGGCTTCCTTGAGATGGTTGGGCAACTGGAGTTGTCTATCCGATGTTTTGTCTTCAACACGTTTACCGTGTCACTCTAAGCCAGGGGTCCTCAACCTTTTGGCAACAGGGACCGGTTTTGTGGAAGACAATTTTTCCACGGATTGGAGGTGGGTGGGTGGATTGGGGGTTTGTTATTAGAGGAAGTGTGTGCAAACTGGATCGCGCACCTATGCAGTTTTGTACACCCGTCGCTCATCTCCAGGTGGGAGACCATGTTTCTTAACACGTTTCCCCGAAAGTAAGACCGGGTTTTATGTTATTTTTTTGCTCCATAAGACGCATTAGGGCTTATTTTCCAGTTAGGGCTTATTTTCAGGGAAATACGGTTCCAAATGCGTCCGTTGGGTTGATAATCTTAACTGGGGCTTATTTTCAGGGTAGGGCTTTTATTATGAGCATCCTGAAAAATCATGCCAGAACTTATTTTCCAACTGGGTCTTATTTTCAGGGAAACAGGGTAACAGCCCGCAGATGGGTAATGGTCCACAGCCCAGGGGGGGATTGGGGACCCCTCCTCTAAAGATCTTGCACATCTATTGCAAGTTAGAGGCATTATTTGGAATCAAAGGGAACAGTTCTTCAAGTGTCACATTTAATTAAAAGGATATTCCGTTTCTGCTAATGTAGACGTTCAAGGTGGCACGCCACCATCGTTGCCCCAAACAAAATGCTGAAGATGACAATAAAACCAACACAATTAAAACCAACGAACTGTTCAAACCTTGGTGGAAGAGATGAGATTTTAGCATTTTCCTAAAAGCCGAGAACGTGGCTCCAAAGAACCTCTGCCCTGTATTAAACACCCGGGTTTCTGCTGATCTTAAGGGTCCAGGCAGTTCCTTAAATACTTAAAATATTTATCTCACCCTTTTTCAATGTTCGGTGACTGTTTAAATAATAATAATAATAGGATAGATAACAGAATTCTTTACTGGCCAAGTGGGATTGGACACACAAGGAATTTGTCTTCGATGCATAAGCTCTCAGTGTACATGAAAATACATTTATCATGAATTGTAAGATACAACAATTAGTGTTAGTCATAGGATACTAAATGAGCAATCAAAATCATACTAGGAAACTAAATAAAACAATATAAATTGTAAAGATACAAGCAACAAGGTTATAGTGTTTTCTTTTTATTTTCTAACTATGTGTGTAAAAATAGTTTGAAAATTTAAAAAAAAAAAACTTTGTAAACAAGCCACCGAAAGTAGAAAACGGGGGAATAAATATTTTACGTTTTTACATACAAATGATAGAAGAACTCCAGTAGGGAAGCAGAGGTTTCACAGTTGAAAGGACAGAATAGCATTCTCCTATAATGGGATCCAATTAATCTTTTTTGGTAATAGCACAGTTCTTGTGTGTTATGCAACCAAGGATCATATTGGATAGAATTAGAAATTCCTGCCAACGTGACAGTTTTATTACATTCCGTCTAGAAGATAAAGACTGGGAAAGAGTATCCCAGAGGCTTAAATTTACCTTATTTATTTGTTTTTTTTTATCCTGCCTTTATTACTTTATAAATAACTCAAGGCAGCAAACATATCTAATACTTCCCTTCCTCTTCCTTTTTTCCCCCAAACAATAAACAATAAGAGGTGGGTTAGGCTGAGAGGGAGAGAGAGAGACTGGCTCAAAGTCACACACTCAGCTTTGATACCAAAGGCAGAACTCAGTTTCCTAGTGAACGGCCTAAAGTCGCCCAAGTGGCTTTCATATCTAAGATAGGACTAGAACTCACCATCTCCTGGTGGTTGGCCCAAAGATGCTCAGAAGACATTTGTGCTTAAGGTGGGACTTCAACTCATGGTCCCCAGGTGATTGGCCCAGAGTCATTCATCCAGCTTTCATGTCTAAGATGGGACTAAAACTCACCGTCTTCTGGTGATTGGCCCAAAGTCACCTAGCTGGTTTTCATGCCTAAAATGGGACTAGAACTCATCATCTCCTGGTTTTTAGAACAATACTTTAACCATTACACCTAATTGGCTCTCCACAGGGTACTAGTTTTTTTAGGGGCAGTGCAAACTTCACTCTTAATACTCCTTTTTATGCTGAAGGCCACTAACAATCAGAATAATCAAGAAATCTCTCCGCTGAAATGACCAGCTAGACGCTGTCAAGAGAGAAAGGGACGGAGTCCTAAAAACTGCAGGAAGAACAATATAACAAACAAGAACGGTGTTTCTCAACCACCATGGCTTCAGGATGGGTAGACTTCAACTCTCAGCATTCCCCAACTAGCTTTTAAAGAAGCCCACCCATCTTAAAGCTGCAAAGTGTTGGAGAAGGATGTGGCAGAACCTGAGTGGTGGAGTTAAAAGAGGAAGCAGCTAAGAATCTGCATGTAGCCACAAACAGAATACTGTAAATCCAACCACCCTTGAATTCCATTAATCCTTATCTATCACCAAAATAGTGCTAAGATTGAGAAAAATTCCTGTGCATAGGCACAAATAGCAAATCAATCAGTTTAACTGCATCATTGTGTGTAGATCTCATCTTTCACTATTGATACCAAGGTTGAGAAACAGAAAGAATCAGAGATGGAAACACTAAAAAAAAAAAAAAGCAAGAAAACAATGACAGATTTACCTATTTTAATAAATCGGCAAGGGAACATCTGCTCATCAATTTTGTGCTTCAAAGTAAATGTTTCTTTGTTATAGTCATTCTTTAAGCCACTGTAAAGAAAAAAAACAAAACACGAAGGGTTATTCAAGGTGACCTAGAATTTGAAGTGAATTAGTAGATAGGCTTTATATGTACGATAAGCTGGCAGCTATGAAAGGCCATTAAGGGTTAGAAAGCCGTCACCAATAATCCTGACTAGGCAAATGTCTTTTCTCTTCATCATTTTTCCTACATTTAAGTTAGAATGTCAGGTCTGAACATTTTGGAGAGTCAATATATCAAAAATCAATCTGGATACTTAAAAGATTTAATTTGGAAATTGATGGATCAATTTGGAAACATTTTTCAATCTCTATCTAAAATAATTCTACGGTACTTTGAAAATGCACAACAGTACCTATAGATAGAAAGGTAACAGAGCAACAAAGATGATTAGGGGACTGGAGGCTAAAACATATAGAGAACAGTTACTGGAACTGGGTACGCTGAGTGTAATGAAAAAAAAGGACCAGGGGAGACATGATAGCAGTCTTCCAATCTCTCAGGGGCTGCCACAAAGAAGAGGGGGGGTCAAGTATATTCTCCAAGCACCTGAAGGCAAGACAAGAAGCAACAGGTGGAAACTAATCCAGGAGAGAAACAACTTAGAACTAAGGAGAAATTTCCTGAAAGTTAGAACAATTAATCAGTGGAACAACTTGCCACCAGGAATTGCAAATGCTCCAACGCTGGAAGTTTTAAAGAAGAGATTGGATATCCATTTGTCTGAAATGCAGGTTTCCTGCTTGAGCAAGGGATTGGACTATTAGAAGAACTCTAAGCTCCCTTCCAAATCTGTTATTCTATTCCTCTTCCTGTTCTAGAAATATTTTAGTTTTCTTATGCAAAAGCCCTTGGGATGTTCACGAATTATCTAAAAGCCAATACGGTCCCTATTAATAATGGTACAGGTATTCCTTTGACTTACAACCACAATAGAACTCAAACTTTCCACTGCTAAACGAGACAGTTGTTAAGTGAGGTTCGCCTCATTTTACAAATCCATCTTGCCACAGAGAAGTGAATCACTGCAGTTGTTAAGTCAGCGATGGTTGTTAAGTGAATCTTCCCTATTAACTTTGCTTGTCAGTGCCGTTGTTACTCCAAATGGCCACTAAACGAACAACTACCTGTATTAGGTCCACCAAGGCCATGTTAAAAAAAGGAAAACATAAACCATACCAAAAGAGGCAAAAGAGATTCCCCCCCCCCCAAAAAAAAAATGTTAAAACCAGGCTTTCAACTTTCTTAGTCTTATTATGATAGGCACCAAAAGACATGGAAGCAACAATCCTACCTTGATAAAAGATCAGTCATATTTTCTTCATTCATTCCACCAAAGACTTTAAATTTTTTTAAATTACAGACGTGAGTCTTTTCGTATTTTCCAAATGTGATGCTCTGAACTACAGACGGTCTTTCAAGTTTCAAAATCAAATACTAGAAGGGGGAAGAGAAGAAAACAGGTATGTGTATGTATATATATATATATATATATATATATATACACACATATGGGTCTTGATCTTACTTTTGTCAGTTATCAATCCCAAAACATTCGTAACATTATAATGTATGTGTTTTAAATTTTGTGTATGCTGTATTGTGGGTGAAGATTGATCTCTATATTATGTAGACTTTCACAAACAGAAAAACACATGATATAGACAGATAGTAGATCGATAGAAATAGATATAAAGATAGATAGATAGATAGATAGATAGATAGATAGATAGATAGATAGA